AGTGGGGGGGGGGGGAGTGTGTATGTGTTTAAGAGATGGGGTGAAGTCTCACTAGGTCACCCAGACTAGAGTGTGGTTGCTATTCACAGGCGTGATCATACTGCATCACAGCCTCAAACTCCCAGGCTTCGGTGATCCTCTTGCCTCAGGCTCAGAACCACAGGAACATGCCACATTGCCCAGCTTTGACTCATGTATGTTTTAAACCCCAAATTATCCCCTAATTTCCCAAAACTAAAGGTACTCTAAATAACATTAGTTCCTGTGCTGATATGACCCCAAATGAACCTCTATCAGACACTGCTGATGCTGTAGAGCGCACTGTCCAAAGCTAGAGGTCTCTCGCCACCATCCTCCATCCACACAGTCACATGCACTAGCCATGTGCAGACCCTGCCTGTGTGAGGCCCACAGTATTGCACATGACCCTGGCTGACTGTAAGCTTACTGCCCAGGGAGGGCAGACAAGTTAAAAAGTCATGTTTAGAACTATGGTAATTACTACTAGAAGCAACTATAGGAAAACATGATGGGGATGCTCTCCTGGCTTGAGGGTGGGGCAAGGTGGGTCAACGAGGTTTTCACAGAAAGTGATGTAGAATGAGACCCAGAAGATGAGTAGGGCTTAGCAAGGAAAAGGGGGTTGGAAGAAGAGTGAATCATGCAAAGACTGGCAAAGGCCTTTAGGAAAAAGATTGTTTGCTCCTGGAATAGACAAAAAGTTCAATGTAGCTAAGAACAGTATGAGGAGTGACAAAAACCAAGGCTAGAGGAGTGAGCCGGGAACAATCACGTGGGCTTCTGCAAGCCACGTTAAGAATACTGGAAAGTATACTAAGAGCAACAGTAGGTCATGTAAGAGATTTAATTAGGAAAGCTTCCTCAAGCTGTAGTGTAGAGCACAAATAGGCTAATGAGCAAAACTGGACAGAGACTGATTTAGGAGGAAGTATGCAGAACAGAGTTAATATAGCAGGCCTGTGACTAACGTTACATGATCCCTTACCTGGCATCTGGGAACTTGAATTTTCGTGGAGTTGCCATGACCATCCCCTGACAGGTATGGTACACTGTGCCTAAAATGTTTGTACAAACAATGTGGTTTATGCTAAACTCTTGCTTTCCTTCTGGGAGTCTGGAATTTGGATGCATGCCAGACTGCATGTATAAAGAACCCTCAATAAAAACCCTGGGCATCAAGTCTCTAATGAGCTTTCTCAGTAGCCAACGTTTCACACAGGCCATCATAATCCATTGCTGGGGAATTCATAGTGTCCTGTGGCCTCCATTAGGCAGGGACCCTTGGAAGCTTGCCTTCGGTTTTCTCTGGACTTCACCCCATGCGCCTTTGCCTTTGCTGATTCTGCTTTGTATCTGTCCATTTGCTGTAATACATCATAGCTGAGTCCCGTGGGTCCTAGATCTTGGGGACCCCCAACACAGGAGTGTACTTAGGTAGCCGAGATAGGTAAGCACGAGGGAGAGGCAGTGGGAAGATGGTGAAGCAGACGGGTCTATTTAGAACATGGAACTGGAGGAAATGGTAATTAACTGGCTATGGAGAAAAGAGAGAGGGATAGAACAAAGCCCAGGCCTTTCCCTCTCTATTCCAGTGGCCTCTTAGGCTCACTGTTCCTCTTCAAGTGTCTTGGAAAGTGCAAACATCTCTGCAAGCACTTACCACACAGCTGTAAGTGTGTGTGTTTACCTGTGTATCCGATTGTCTAGATTTTAACATTCATATCTTAGTCCCCAGTTCCTAGCATGTTGGCTGAGAATATAAAGTTACATAAGTTCTTTTGATATTACTATTTGATTCTTTTAATTTTATAGATCAATAACACCTATTATGAAATTCAGGATGTAAACAAGAAAATTAACATAAATTATTTCTCTTTAATTTTCATACTTGTAAAACCAGCCAGAATGTCACATATTTTCAGGTTCTTATAAAGATTAGCAAGAACATATGAAGCAAAGGTTTAACCATAGGCTCTCAACATTATGATTATTCTTTAGCTCCCCCATAGAACTTAAAGAAAAAATTACATTTTTGATTAAACCTAAGTACTTAATAAAATTTACAACTGAGTTGATTTCTTTCTAGAATTGTTTCCTAGTTTCCTGATTATGTATAGAGAAATTTAATTTTTTAGGAGAATGAATAATAAAGCATAGCAATTTCCTTAAAGTTTCCAGCAAAACAAAATAACACTACATACAAAGTAGTACTTACTTTGGTATTGATGGCAAAGCCCGTTCACCTTCTGTGGGGGAAAAAGGAAAGAGATGTATAAGGTTCTTTTTACTCCTTTTGAAACGATGGTGCCTAGAATCAAGAGAGGAAGGATGAGGCCTTTACTGGTATTCCAGCAATGACCCTTTAAACAAAGTTGCTACACTGTCTACCTTAGGTTCTCATGGTTTTATTTTCAATATTTATAACAAACATGAACTATTAGATACAATTGTTTAAAAGGAACTGCCTAATTATAGTAAACAACTAAGATGCTAAGTTGGTAAAATACTTTGCAGGAGACTAACAGATGAAGAGTTTCTTATGATTAGTCAACACTCCTTGTCAAAGGACCAGGCATTCTGCATTTTGATAAAACTACTCACTAGTAACAACATAAAAACTTGTGCAGGAAGCACAGAGAAACACAAAGAAAACAATTCTACAGGTGTGTGTGGCTGCCAAAGGAATGAATGTATGAGAGAAGCCAAGTCCTGGAGCTGTCACCTGAAGGAGCCCTGTACACGGCTGGCTGGAAGGTGAGCCAGGCAGTTATCTGCCACAGTTTGGGGTGGGCCCCCTTTTTGCTGAGTCAGACACAGTGACTGGCTCATACCTGCCTGACCACAGGGAGGCTGAGGACTTTGTTCAATGGTGGGGGAGACTCTTTTTTTCCCCACAGCCTTCATTTTGCAAACCAGGAAACACAGAGCCCTCCCTGGTTTAATCTCTAATCTGAATTAATGTAATAGCCTCCTAACTGGACCTCTCTTCTAATCCATATGAGCTAAATGATTTCAGAATAATCTTCCCAAATTACAAATTCATGAAGTCAAGCAAGTTATTATTCTTAACATTTTAGTGTCTCTCAAAAGTGTTCAGGATAATTTACGAAGCACTGCTTCACTTTTCCCAGCACACAAACACTGCTCTGGCTGTCATCTTTGTATTGTGTATCTATGGGGTGGTATGGGAGGCTGAGGAGGGACCTATCTACCACTCACCACTCTGGTGCCCTTCTAGGCAGCTACTTGGTAACACCACTCATGTAGTCACACTTGCTATCGACAGGTCCTCTCCTTGCATTTGCCCTTGAATTCGTTCCAACCAGTTCCCCGACACCCACACATCTCCAATGACATCTGCCTTGCTAAACCCAATTGTTCACTTACAGTTAGCACTTAACACAGCTAATCTGTCCTCCTGAGAACTTCCCACCCTGGGCCTCCTGAACTTTGTACTATATTCTCTTGGTTTTCTTCTGTCCTCTCAGGGTAACTCTTCTTCATCTTCTTTACTGGTTCCTCATCATCTCCCTGGCCTGATGAAGATTAGAGAACCCAGTGCTCACACTTGTACCTCTTAACCTCTCTTCCTTGGTAACTTCATACAGTTTCAAAGTGTCAAACGCCACCCACATTTTGCAGCTCCCAAATGCATACCTCTAGCTTGGACCTCTCCCCTGACCTGAACTTCTGCATCTGGTTGTCTACCTGACACCTCCCTCTAGATGTCTGAAGGCTGCTAGGACTTGCTGATGCTCAGAACTGAGTCCTGGTGGGTACACCTGCATAATTCCCATTGTTCAGGTGGAACCAGAAGTCATCACAGGGCCTCTCTGCTCCCCAATCCATACCTAGCGCAGCAAATACGAGGCTTTACTGTCCAACTCTATCCAAAGTCGTCTTACTTGTCACTGTCATTATAGGACCCCTGGGCCAAACATCAATCACCTTCCTACATCATGGTAATAGCCTCCTGATTAGTCCCTCTACTTTATCTGTACCCAGGCCAACCTAGCATGGTTTATTCTCAGCACAGTAGCCAGAGTACTTATTCTAGAACATAAACCAGATTACATTATTCCTCTCTTCAAACCATCCAATGGCTTCCCAAATCACTAAGTACAAGCCAAAGCCCTTACAATGCCTTTACATCTTGACCAACCACTTGCCCTGGGATCACCCCCTCAAGGCATCTAGTGACCTGGGTCTCTGCTGTTCCAGGCATGCTTCCTAGCATTCCTCAGCCTTTAACAGGGAATAGCCAGATATCCTTATAGGTTCTGTTTTCCACTCCTTCAGGTGCAACTCTCTTAGTGAGACCTTCCCTTATTTAAAATTGTATCCCTTACACTCTTCCCTATTTTTCTCAACACAGCAATACCATTAGGTGTATGCTATAGTATTTATTTCCTCTACTAGTTTACTTACTTTGTTTATTGCATGTATGTCCTCACCTACATGAAATTTCCATGGATGCACAACCTTGTCTGTTTGCTGCTACACATCCTGTCCTAGAACTGTGCCTAGAAAATGGTTGGAGCTCAACAACTACATGTTGAAAGCATGAAGCGTTTGGTCTGGCCAATCCGCCTTTTCAGTATTACTTATCACTATTCCCTGACTGCACATTGTATCTCCCTGAACATACTGCACATGCCTTGAAAGGTGCTCTTCCTTCATTCAGGTAGAAACATTCCTCAGTATTTCAAAGATCAATTCAAGTTCTATTCCCTGCAGGGAGCCCTTCCTGGAATATCCCAGTTTGCACTGAGTGGCATCCTCTGTGTTTCTGTTGCATCCACAAAACATTTGCCACAAACCATACTTCTCCACAGACTACTCAACCTGCCTAAAGTTATGGTAAGATCTACGCTGCACAAAGACATCCCTAATACCTCGCAGAGTATCTGGCACTCAGGAGACTCTCCGACCACTGTTTGGTAAAGAAAGAAAGAAATCAACCTAGGACCCTATGTTACTCTTTCTGAAAAGCTGTTTAATTCTTCTAATTTGCAGAGATACTTGTGAGGCTGAACACTGTATGTATACAACTCACTGCACACAACTGGAATTCAAGCTGAACTTCATCACTTGTTGATATTTTGAATATCTATTTCAAGCAAAATAACCAAGTCACACCAGGAAGACCAAATTTAGCGTAACTGAAAAGGCCTGATAATTAGTTTATTATCCCATGAACATGAACATGACCACCAGCACCACCACCTTATTCACACCCAAATTGTTACTAATATAGCCTTTCAAATGACACATTAGTGTGATTTCTGTTTACATTCTGTTGAAATTTCTATTTCCTGAAAGCAAAATAAATCCATTATTGCATTTTTGGCTAAAAGAAGACTTCCTAGGTAGCTGGGCATGGGTAGAAGGGCAGCTGTAAAGGAGATAAACAATAGGAGGACTCTGAAAGAATACTTTTATAAAGAGAGTAATGTAATACAGAAAAATGGCAATAGACACTATCAGTAGAAGTAGCATTTAAGAAAACCCTAAGGACTCACCACCCAAAATGCCTAATTCTGGGAGTTAAATGTTTTTGTTCAAATATACTTCCATTCTTCTTACAAGTATTCATTAACTGAAATTGGTGACTTATCAGACTTTTTTAATGCTTATAAATACACAAGTTTAGAGATACACACACACACATGAACACACTTACATGTAGGTTTTTAATACATCAATACAGCTATTTTTTTAAACAGCTGCATAGTATTACATCATGCATGCATACTCCATTTATTAATTTTTGCTAATTTTTTCTATTATACACAATGCAGGAGTCAAAGGGGCAGAGTACTCCTTAACTGTCTTCTGAAAATGTACGAATTTACAATGACACAAGCATGAGAATGCATTCTTCAGAAGTCTTGCCAATGGTGGTTATCAGGTTTTTTTAAAACCAATGTAATTAGTACAAAATGAAAGACATCACTGCTTCTATCCATATATTCCTTGCACATTTATATGTCCATTGCTCTACAAGGTAACCCATTTTTATACTTGGTTGTCTTTTAGTGAATGAGATGGAAGAACACTTTAAAAATGAGAAATTTTAATTATTTATTATATGTGTTATAGATATTTTCCCCTCTGTTACTGTAGCTTTAAAAATGTTATCTTGTACTAAACGAAGTGTTTAAATTATGTAACTGTGTTTGCTTTGGCAGCACACAAGTGTTTTAATTATATAATTAAATATAACAATTTTATTTTTACAGCTCTTGGGATTTATGTCATACTTAGAAGCATTCACTCCCTCCCTTGAAACCTACAGTATTCACCATCATTCGATACACAGAAAACCTACTTAAGAATTATGTAATTACAACTCTGTATTATATTGTACACTTTCCTCTGAAAAAATTTTACCACAGAATTTTACTAAAACTGCAAAATTGATTCTAAACTTTCTTTCAGATAAGGTGTATGTTAGATAACACCATACAATGACGGCCAAAGTTATGCAGACTGCGGTGGAATGCAGTATAGGACAATTTGGCTTGTGGCTCTATGTTCTCCCCAATAAACATCACCTTTTATTTATTTATTTATTTAAATTAAATTAATTAATTTTTTTAGATGCAGTCTTGCTATGTGGCCCAGGGCAAATTCCTGCCCTCAGGGATTCTCCTGTGTAGCTGGAATTACTGACGTGAGCCACTATGACAAGCTAATATCCTGTTGTTGTTGTTGTTGTTTCTGAGACGAGTCTTGCTTTGTCGTCCAGGCTGGAGTACAGTGGTGCAATCTTGGCTCACTGCAATCTCCGCCCCTGGGGTCCAAGCGATTCTCCCGCCTCAGCCTCCCCGGTAGCTGGGATTACAGATGCGCGCCACTGCGCCCATCTAATTTTTGTATTTTTAGTAAAGACGGGGTTTCACTATGTTGGCCAGGCTGATTTTCAACTCCTGACGTCATGATCCGCCTGCCTCAGCCTCCCAAAGTGCTGGGATGACAGGCGTGAGCCAAGGCGGCTGGCCTAATAAATCTTTTAAAACCACTATATAAATCCAAAGTAACTAAAGCAGATCAAAGAACTAACAAAATGTGACTGGGCACACCTGGTTCACATGTAGAACGTACTGATTACTTATTACTGTCATGTTATGCATATGCATATATACACATCTAAGTAATTTATGATCTAGAGAAGACAGACTGGCATAGGTAATTGTTAGTCAAAGCGTGTTTCCAGGAAAATGGTACATTAGAGTTGTAGAAACATGTTTAACATTTATTTAAACTCTTAAAAAAAAAAAATCTCGCTTTTCTGAGGATCTAGCAAGATGGCAGAGATAGAGCAAAAGAAGCAGCGGACTTTCCGCAAATTCACCTACCGCGGCGTGGGCCTGGACCTGCTACTGGACATGTCCTACGAGCAGCGGATGCAGCTGAACAGTGCGCACCGCGGCCGCGGTTGAACCCCGGCCTGCGGCGGAAGCAGCACTCACTGCTCAAGCGCCTGCGCAAAGCCAAGCAGGCGCCGCCCATGGAGAAGCCGGAAGTGGTGAAGACGCAGCCGCAGGACACCTTCTGCCCAGGATGGTGGGCAGCATGGTGGGCGTCTACAACGGCAAGACCTTCAACCAGGTGGAGATCAAACCAGAGATGATAGGCCACTGCCTGGGCGAGTTCTCTATCACCCACAAGCCCGGGAACCACGGCCGGCTAGGCATTGGGGCCACCCACTCCTCCCACTTCATCCCCCTCAAGTAGTGGCTCAGCTAATAAAGGCATACGTATCAACAAAGGAAAAAACGAACTCAAAAAATGTACGTATGCTGTGTCCATATGTATTTCTGACTACAACCCACTAAAGATGTTTGACTTTAATATTATTTTAGCTAGGCAATATATCTTCCTCTTAGGGATCTATGATGAAACAGTTATGTAATACATAAACATGCTATGATTCAGAATAAGAAAATTATCAAGTTTAATAATTCATTTTATAAAGACAATATAAAACTGGAAATAACCAATGCCCTATCTAGCTTTTCATGACAAGCATTTTCAGTTATGCTCTTTTCATATAAACAAAGACCTTAAAAAGCATTGCCTTTCATGTTTTAGTATCAAAATGTTTCTCCCTAGAGAGCAAAAAAGCTAACAGTGAAATCAACACAGGAAGATGTTTACATTTTAAACACGGAAGGCTCATTTAATGCCTGACATCCCAATGTTATTTTTAAATGTGTATTAACATTGGAAAAGGACCTTTTGGCAAAGTGAGGATAAAAGATGGAAAATTATTAAAAAGGAAACGGGCAATCTATAACATTTAACATTTTTCCTAAATTACTATCTCTATGTGAAGAAATTATCTAAAAACATTTTAATAATATTTGTAAGGCATATACACCTGTTTAAAATATAAAGTCTGATACTGGGAGAAGAAAATGTCCCAAAAAATAAATAAATAAATAAATAAATAAATAAAATAAAGCACAAAGTGAAAATACAAGACCTACAGCCGCAAAGGCTTTAACTGTGAGAAACTTTAGACTTCTGAAATCAACTTCATTACTCTATTTCATACAAAGAAAACTTAAAAAAATATATGAATAGGCTTTATTGGTGTGATCATTGTGGGAAAAAACACTTTTCCTCTAGAAAAAGCCATGTCCTGGAATCAAACAGACTTATGTTTACTTAGCGAAGGCTCACAGCTTTGTCTGTTTTCAGGGCACAGCATCATTATTTACCTCTTTTAAGATACATAAACAAAGGGTCCAATGACTCGTCTCTATAAAACCCACAACACACACACATGCCGCGCATGCAAACACCATCCCTCCCTCAAACTGCTTTGTAAACAGGGCACTTCTCTGCTGGGCAAGGCTGGATCCTCTGCGTTTCTACCTGCTTCGCTTGGGCTTTGCCTTTTCTCTATCCTCATCACTGTTTAATACAATTCTGCTGACTTGAACACACACAACACTTCAGGATTTTCCTCCTCTACAATCATCCTAGTCACTAAGGTGAGTGCTAGAAAGGGTCTTGGCAATAAGGACAAAACCCACATTCAGAGTCCCCACTTGCACAGTGTGAGCTGCTTTACAGTTACTATTTGGGACGTGTCTTAACAACCCTACAAAATAGGTATCACTCTTTTACAGATGAGGTATCTCAAAGTCTAGGTTAATACAGCGTCAAGATCAGACTAAACTAGTAGCAACAACAGGAACAACAATATAACTAAAATCTATGAGCACCATGTGTGTCAGGTGAAGTTCCAAGCCTATAAATAAATAAGTCCTTTATCCTCCTAATACCATAGAAGATAGTTAACTGTTCTTCATGTTTGACAGAGGACAGAACTGAAGCACAGAAAAGTAATTACAGATGATGATGGCACAGGGGACTCATGATTTGAGCTTAAGTTCCGTAATTCCCAAACCCAGTCTTTTCCTGCTTTACACTACATCTGCTATTATCTTGCTGGGAATATTTTCATTTGATTCGTTCAGAAATCCAAATCCTCAAAAGCATTCCTCATTATATGCTTGCAAAAACTCCACACCATTTTCCAGGGTATTTATTTATTATAATCTTTGATTTTTTTAACATCATGACTTAGAATGCATTTTACTCTTCGAATGCTCTAAGCTTTTGAGATATGTAAGAAAAAATAGAAAGAATACTTCATTTATAGTCAGTTACAAGGGATTCCTTTTTTAAACCCAGAATTTTGTTTAAACCCAAAAGTTTAAAAATACTCATGTATTTAAAAATAGTAATGGCAATTTAGAAAATCCTCTAAGTAGGTAGCTCAAAACACAGACAATGTTTTCTGTAGGCTCTATTCAAACCCAGTTCTTGGCTTGTGGAAGGTGTAAACTGGATCACCATCCCTAGAAAAATAAGCACTCAGATTATACTGAGCTGAATTACTCATTTGGTCTTCCTTTTTACAGTTACCTAAAAGAGGATAATAGGCTATTGTTAGGGGCAAACTCAGTTAACAATCTGGTAGAAATGCAATTGGGAATGCTCAGAAACAGCACCTCACCTTTCTGGGGTCTGATGATAAATGACTGCGAGGCTCCATTCACCAGTCGGCAGTACCCATCTATCAGGTCAGCCATATTCTCTGCAATGGTTAGGGATGGTGCTGTCACTGTCAGAGGCTAAAGGAGAAAAGACCAAGAAAACAGACTTTATTGTTCTTCCCAGTAAGCAAAGGACAGCTGTGCTATGACATCAGAAATCGCTATACACTTGAAAACAGAGTGGGAATGAAACAAGATCTGTTGTAAGATTTGAAAAAGGAAATTTGGTATTTAAGGACATTATTCCTAGAATATGTGACAAATGCAAAACGAGTTGAAAACAGAAAAATCACTGAAACTGGGGCTTTCTAGATTAAAAGGAGATTAAAAATATTTTCCTTCAGAATGTCTGGACCCTCTGGCATACTCCAGGTTAAGGGAAGAATTTAGACAATCAGTAAGTTAAAGTATGACTTGTATCAGAAACTAGACTAATGTGGAGTAAAATTTTTTATCAGCCATCCATCATAATTTGTCTGATGTAAAAGAAAAATAATAAAATTTCATTATTTTTAGCACACATAGCATGTTCTGACCAAAGGCTTAGAAATCATTCTCTTTCTAATATAAAATATGTTCAATATTGAAAAACTTCCTAAAGATCTATCTTTAAGTGTTATCGGAGAGATAAGAAAAGCTGTATTTCATTTTCAAATACAGGTATGGCCTAATTCCTATAAATAGTTATTTATAATCCTCTAAGTGAATGCCTCTCACCTGCATTGCCCTAAATATTACTTGGAGGTTAACAAAATGAAAGGAGGACAGTTTGAAATGATGATGGAATATTACTACTGAGATATTTGCAGGAAAGTTCTATTTGCAACACTGACACAACGTGGTCATATAATGTTTTCTCATTATATGGCTTTTGATATTGTATGGTAATATTTGTTAATCTCAAGAATCAACAAGAGTTCCTAGAGCCCTCAGATGTCACCAAACTCACAGAGTCACAGGGCAAAACAGTGATAAGGCATCTGCCTAAGTGAGGAGTGCTGCAAATAAAGCTACCCAGAGAACTAGCTGTAACAGCCCAAAGAATCCTGGCGTGCTGATGGAAACAGATGAGCTTCAGAAGCATACTTTACACACCAGCACAACCGTGTGTGCCACCAGACTGTCCAGATCCTTTCATACATGAGTGTATTTTGGCCATCTTACAGAAAGGATTCCATTAGGTAGTATTTGCCAAATGGCTCTTTTTCATACCACTTGTTTTAAATCACTGTTGCATGTTGACTAAGAACATAGGCTTTGGATCCAGACTGTTTGGGTACGAACCCCATTTCTGTCAATTACTTGATGTGGCCAACCTCTTATACCTCAGTTTCCTCAACTACAGAATGTGGTTAACCAAAGTATATCAAAGTATGTACTTCTGTGGTTTTACGAATGACACAGCCTCTCTTAGTTTCTGTATAAAGAACCATGGGGGCCGGGCATGGTGGCTCACACCTGTAATCCAAGCACTTTGGAGGCCAAGGCAGGTGGATCACCTGAGGTCGGGAGTTCAAGACCAGCCTGATCAACATGGTGAAACCCCGTCTTTATTTTTAAAAAAAAAAAAAAAGAACCATGGGTAGCATATGCCCAGTATCAGGTATTGCTGCTGTTATAATTATTATAATAATCATATACTATTATTTCTACTCAGAGAATATCATATACAACACAGTATGGAAACTAACTCAGTTTACAGAATA